TCAGATGAGTGTTGATCTGAATGTTTCATCATTCACACTTGAAGACTGGAGCAGATTTGACTGTGTGTTTCATCTCTCTGATGGTGAGGACGTCATCATCACCAGGCTGAATGAAACAGTGATCAGAACCAACAGAGGAGGAAAAAATACAAATGGTGAGAAAAGCTCATTTAGTTCATTTTGTTTCCTGTTACTGTGGATTGTCTGTAATCCCGTGTTTTGTCCTGTTTTTGTGTGATCTCAGGCAGAATAGCTGCTACTGTAGGAATAACTCATGGAGATCCTATTAAAGTTGGAGAAAAAAAATCAGTACTTGTATATAATAACTGTCTCTTTGATTTAAAATGTGCCCAGTGTTGGTGCTGCTAACAGCCATCCATTCATCCATTTACTTCTCCTTCTCCTTATCAGGGTGCTACAGTCCAAAGACATGCAGTTAGTGGGGTCAGGTTCATTGATGATTCTAACTTGCTCATAGGTGTGAATGTGAGTGTGAATGGCTGCTGTTAATATTCTTAAGAGAAAACTGTTTCGACCATAATCCTGACAGTGGTACTGGAACTTACATTTCAAAATGCAAGTGTTTCTAAATAATAAAACCCTTGCTTTTTATTTCTGGCCTTATAATTGAGGAGCTGAATACACAAAACTCCTGTCAAAGGGTTAAAAATTCAGCCACCTAATTTTACTGTGCCTGCTCTGCTTAACTGCAATATATCATGGTATCTGAGTGTCTTATAGTGTTACATGTATGATCACATCAGTAGATCTTGACATAGAAATTATGCTGTCTTCTTCTCACCAATATGTGATTTACATTTAAACTACATGATTTCTGACTGATCAGAGGAACCCTCAGACATGATGATCACCATCACTGCTGCAGTGGTTGTTTCAGTTGCTCTCGTCCTCGTTGCTGCTGTTTGTGGTGCTGTTTACAAGAAGAAGAAAGGTGAGAGATTCAGCTGAGCTGATGCTCTGATACAGACTGCAAAGCTGAATGTCTCTGGCATTCTTGAATATTTGTTTTTTCCTATTATTTCAGAAACAAATACTGAACAATGTAAGCAAAGTGTTTTTCATTGTCACTCTGATTTTCATTGATACTAAGCCAGTTCAAGATTAGTAGGACTAACAGTTTGTTTTGCACCCTACAGCTCGAGACAATGCCTGTGATCTCTCTACAAGACTGAATTCAGAGCCCTCATAGACAAACACAGCACATGATGGACAAATACAGACATCTTCACCTACATAATAAAAAGAGCAAAGGCAATTGTTGATCTTTTCTTTTTTTTCATAATGACAGGTATTTTCATTTCTGGTATTTTTGTATCCAGTATGTGATTATTCTGGGTTTTTTGTTTTGTTCTTTTTTTGTTTATTCGTCCCAAATATGGTACAATGACACTAGTTTGCTAGTATGGGACACCTATGGGTTATCAAAAACCTCTGCAACCAAATTAGCCAATAAAATATAAAACCTAACACATTTCAGAGAGATTTATATCCATTTGTGACACATTATCAATATTAACTAAAAAATAAAATTAAAGGGAAATGTTAAAATGATAAAAAGAATATTAGAATAGCAGTCAAAATACTAGTTACATCAGTTAACAGGGGAACTATTTCTGCATGGAAAATGGACTGAAAGGCAAACCAATAAACAAACATACACATACACACAGAAAAACAATTAAAACAACCACACAGTCAACATGAGCAGTGTGTTATGGTCTAAAGAACAGTTATGTCATATAGCTATAACACATTAGAGCCAGAAGGCACCTGACTAGTTAGCTGGTATTCTCTTAGCATCCTAACAAAGGTGGCACTCGTGAATAAAGTTACCTTGGTGTAAAAATTCAACTTTCAGACTACATGTTAATAGTGCTTATAATAAAAATGCATGTTAACATTGATCATGTGAACCACCTTCAGTTGGGATGCAGTGACGAGAACCTTAACAATACAGTTGCATTATTTATCCACCAGGTGGCTCCAACTCAAGCACATCAATGTTTTCACACCTTCATAAAACTTATAAGGAAGTTAGATCTAAATGTCTCTGAAATGTAATCATTTCAGACACCTTGTTGTTATGGATGTGAATCCAACCAATCGGGTCAATCAGGTTTTTTTCTCTCTCTTTCCCTCTATCTAGCCACCTGTTTATCAAGTAAAGCTGTGGGACACAAATAATCTTTTAAGTTTTGTTCGTTTCCCATTCATTCTGGAACTATAAACTGAATAAAAGTAGGCAAACTGCTTCAAGTATTTGTTTTCTTTTGTATACCAATTTGTATTTCACAGTTTATCATGGGGTTTCTTAATTAAAAGTATTCTACTTTTTGTCATTAGTAAAACTTCTGCAGGTGTCAAGTTGAGTAAGTCTAGTGTTTCACATTCTGTGTAAATGATGTGATTTGGATTGGATAACCGGAAGAGAATTCTTGGATAGATGAATGATCTGCTTTGGCTTATAACTGCAGACAAGCAAAGATAAACATCTTCATAGAAAAATACCCTGAGCATACACTTGAATTGTGAAAAGATAAATGGTAAATGGCCTGTATTTATATAGCGCTTTACTAGTCCCTATTGAATACACAACCCAAACTACAGCAGTCAAACTGAAGTAGTGTTTGTTAAAACAAGGAGCTGTAGGGAATCAGTCCAAGTTGAACATGCCTCAGATACTCAGAATGTAATCTCAACCAGGAAACATCTTTGGGCTGAACAGACACATAAAACTCTCTAACTCTTCTCCCACTTGTTCAGTTCTGTGCCAACTCTCTAAACATGATGAAGAAACTTATTGTTCTCCTCCTCCTCTGCCATGCTGCATCTGGAGGTAAGATCGTGATCTGCCTCCCTCTTCCCGCTCCCTGCCTTCTTCTTCCTGCTCCAACACACCCACACACAGAAGTAGGGCCTTGGGTTGCGGGTGTGTCACCAGCGTGCAGGGGAGGAATCCCCCCCCCTCTGTCCCCTTCTGGCCACCTGTGCCTCAATTTTATTCCACAACTTAGACATCCACATTACTCACACTCTCATAACACATACATATAGGGCCTTGAAGGTGGGCATGTTAACGGTGTCCAGTGGACGGTCTGTGTATTCAACCCCACCTCTGGCGCCGGTGCCCACCTCTCAATTTTAAATCCATGTAGACATTGAGGGCTCTCGGGAGGAGCTGTGCTAACACCTGCTGCTCTTTGGCAGCACCATGCTCTCCCGTGTTTTAAATGCACCTTAGAACAACACGCAGCAACACTACACATGAGCGAGAGGAGGGAGGTTTGGGGTCTTCACACACCCCTGTTCTCTGCTGGCCATCGGGGCGGGGGGGCTGGAAGGAGGTGTTGGCCGTCCGATTGGGATCCGGGATGCAGGGCCTCCCTGCTGCTGCGGAGCCTGGGGCGGTCTGCTTGCCTCCACCCCGGGGGAAAGGGTAACATCTCCTGGGTGTACGTGCCGTTTCCCCCTCCGGGGGCGAGGGTACCTGAACCCGGGGAATAGAGTTTGTTTGGGGAGTGTGATTGTGTGAACAGTGTCCATGTATGTCTATCCCTACGTTGGGTGAGTGCTGAGTATTTGTATATGTGTGCATGAGGGTTGGAATGCATGTTTGTGTCTGTGTTTATATGTCAGGTCGGGTCTTAGACTCCACCTCTCTGGGAACTCCCGGGCCCTCCAAAGGCCTATCTCCCCTCACCACACTCCCTGCCAGTAACTGACGCTCTCAGGGGTCGGTGCGTTGGTGGTTCTTGGTGTCCGGGGCTGGGCGCTCAGGTATGTACCAGCTCACTCCCGGTGACTACTTGGCGGGGCCTGGTGCCCGTTACCCGGTCAGGCCTCTTCCGGGGCAAAGGCGGCCCTCGGGCCTCGGGCCCTGTGGCTCGGTTCACTCTGGCACAGCTGGCTGCCGGCAGAGACGGCGGGCATGTCACTGCAGCCCCCTCTGGCTTCTGCTCCGTGGCTACTGGGTGACCCCTCATCTGGGGCTCTCCTCAACTCTTCCCAGGAGGGTGGCACGATGCCCCTCCGGTGGTCCTCCTTGGGCTCTCGCACTCTGGGGCCTCTGGATGTCTGGAGCCTGGATCTCCTCCATGCCTGCTTCATGCCCTGAGGGACGGGGCTATGGCTCTCTAGATCCTCTAGCAGACCATTACATGTGGAAACCTTTTGAATACAAGCGCGCTGATCCACACAGGTGTGCACACGGGTGT